CGGGGTTGTAATTACCCAGGCTGAGCCGGGTCCCTACCGACCTCCCCCTGCCGGGTCCCCCTCACTCCCCCCCTCCACCTGAGACTGAGGCCAGGGCCGGGGTGCAAGCCCGCTCGCAAGTTCCCACCTCCGGTGCCTGGTGCCTCCGCTGGCCCTCACCTCCCCAGTTCCCGCTGGCACCCAGTTTCTCATTCCCGTTTCTCCCGGCGCAATCAGGGCGCTCCTGGAGCTGCTGTCGACTCTTCGAGAGGCCTGAGATTGTCTGGGCGGCCGCTGCAGGCCTTTGGACCGGTAGCGATGGGAAAACCAAGTGTTAATTGTTACTAACTACTTTTTACGAAAATGTTAACAGTTTTACAGACATTCCCTTTGTTTACGGAAGGATTTCCAAGTCTCTGCAAATCGCTTCAGGCACTTGTTGGACTTGAGAGAAAACAACTCCCCCCTCTTCCTATTACCTTCCACCTAACACTCCTTTAGGGATGGCTACACCAGGTTTGGGGGACTCCGAGCAAAGCTCTCCTGAGCCGGAGTGTGTGAGGTGGCAATCCTAGAGAGCGAGAGAGAGAAAAAAATAGAGCCATTTTAAAAAGAAGAAAAATCAGCCTCTTCCAGCGGCAGAAAAATCCAGGGAACAACGCACCTGGGACTTACGGCGAAGAGGCCAGTGTTTAAGGAGGAAGGACTTGCAGGTGGAGGGAACCGGGTGGTCGCCCCAAGCTACTCTACCCAGAAAACCATGATGCGGGTCGCTCTTCTCTCACTTTGCTTACTTTCTCCAGAAAAATTTTTTGCTGAAAGAAATAGTTTCTCAAAGGCGAACCACCGAACATTTTTTAATACGTAAAGAGAAAGTTGGGTAATTACGACTACCCTTATTATCATTAATAATCTAAGTATTAGCATCACAATAATAACTCTAATAATAACAAGCGCCCGGCGGAGCGCAGATAAAACTCGATTGCCTTCCAGCTGCCATCCCCTGTTCCAGCCGTGTTTGTTTTTCTTCTTTTCCCTTTTACATTTCAAGTTTGTCTCCTCGCGCGCTCACTAACAACTTTTTTCTGTTAAATGCAAGAGCAGAGGAGGGAGGCGGCCAAACTTTCCGCGGAGCAGAAAGGCAGCGGCGGGCAGTGCTGCCGCCGGGGCCTGCTGTAATCTTTTATTCCAAAATGGGTCTCGGCGATTAGAGGAGACCCAAATACATGTAGCGGTGCATGAATAATGCTTATTGTAGGAAACTGACACTTGCTCAAGGAAAAAAAGTTTGGCTATAAAATCACTTCATTATTTGCTTTTACCGCAGCTTGGATGCTAATCCCCTCAGAGGTCAGATTGCTTAGCATCTCTCTCTCCCGCTCCCCTTTCCTCCCTCTTCTCCGCCCTCCTCGCCCTCTCCCCTCTTCCCCCCTCTTTCCCGTCTTTCCTGCGATTTCAGGCCGCATTTTAGACATCCCCTGCAAAGTGTGTGGTGACCGAAGCTCAGGGAAGCACTACGGGGTCTACGCTTGCGATGGCTGCTCAGGGTTTTTCAAGCGGAGTATTCGAAGGAACAGGACGTATGTCTGCAAGTCCGGAAACCAGGTACCTTCCCGAGAGCTGAGTTGCTAGGCTCCCCTCAGCGGCTTCCCCTTTCCTTTCTGTCTAGGCCTCCTCTGCATTCCCCGACTCTCCCACCTTTTTCCCTTCTTCCTGCCTCAACTGTAGGTGGCCCTTAGGCTCTGGAAAGGTCTGGTAAGGTTAGAGAAGGCAGATGGGTTTACAGGAGGAAGTCTGAACGCCCATAGTTTTTCCCACATTAAAAAAAGATATCTTCTGACAGATTTTGACACTGGGTAAGGCCCACACCCAGTCTATGAAGCCTGCCCAAGGAATCTAAGGAACTTTAGACTCTAAACCACAAGTAGTAACCAGGAGAATGGGCCATGTTATGTTGTCTGCCGCTGGCCCATACCCCCGTTCTCAGCAGCACCCATGCTCAGTCTCCCGTCTATTGGTTGGACATTTGTGCCAGGGTCACCACCACCTTTAACTGAGACTCCAAAGTGAAGCTTCACTGCTTGGAGGACAGGTGGTGCTTGTCAGAACTGTGCCCTTTGGCTCTGTAGAGGCTGGACTACTCTAGAGGGCAGGTTGTGGGGCTCTGCTAGGCATGACTTTAACTGGGTCTTATCAGAAGAAGGGAAGGATGAGCAAGAAGAGAGGGCTCAAAGAAAGTAGCAATTGGGACCTTCTCAAGTTCTCCGGTGGGTCTCTTCCTTTTCTGCTTACAAGGTGAGCCTGTTTAGTTAAGTTTTGGTCCAACACAGGCAGAACGGTTTCACAGAGATAGGGCAGTGAAGGAGTGAACTGTGCACAGCTGCAGCTTCCAGCCTTGAGCAGAACCCCCTACTTGCTCCATTTCCAGCTCAGTAGCCTATGCCCCACACTCTGCTCATCCTCTGCAGAGGCCTCATCTTTACTCCTGAGAAAATCCCCTGAGAGTGTCTTAGTCAGGAGCTATCCTCTGTCAACCAAATGATGGAAAACATTCACTAATTACTGTGTATGATACACATAAACTCATGCTAGTGAATTATTGTGACTTTTTGTTCTGATGGCATGTCTGCTTATATGAATTCCTGATAGATTTTGAATGGCAGGAAATACAAAAAGACGTATGTATTTGGATAAATTATTTTGGCTTCTGCAAACTTCTTACCTGTTTAGTTGGGTAGTGTCTAGTTTATGGATACATCATATTATGTACACATATGGAACTGTTACTAGGAGCTTCACAGATTGGAGATTCTGTGGGGTGCCGGATTTGAACAGGTGCCTCCTTCTTGTATTATTATTATTTGAAACAGATCTTGCTATGTAGCCTGGGCTAGCTTTGAACTCATGATCTTCCTGCCAGAATCTCAGGTGTGGGCCACTACACCAGACCACATTATCTTTTCTTTATACCTAATTCAGAGATTTGGAAAATCTAAGGTGTTATGCTTTGTGTTTTTCAAAGGAGATGACTATCAATTCAAATATATTTGTATCAGCCCAAAATACTTGAAAAGGAGTGATACAGACCCATCAGGACTGTGTCCCTGGCAAAGAGAATAAAGGAACCAAACTAAGGCACTCCACTCATTCTTCCTTCTCTTGGGCTCCAGACACTTACATACCTATGATGCAATTTGAAGAAACTGGAGAGCTGACGAAGGCTTCCATTTTGCACTTATATATTTATCAAATTATTGGGGAAGATACCATTCCAATTGGACATTCAGCTATATTTAATAAAAAGTCCTTTGAAACTCTTTACATTGAACATTGTATTGGCCAAGAATGCTTGGACAAATTCTCACAGGAACTAAAAGTTCATTTCCTTCTTATCTTTTGTGCTATGTAAATAATATTTCAATATCTTACTAACATTAATGAAGACATTTAGAAATTGTTATTAACATCTTTATTTTAAACAAATTAATTATATGTTTTGATTTAGTTCGGTTGGGATATATATGCATGCTGGGTATGTGCTCTGTCTTTGAACCACATCTCCAGCTCAAGTCAACATATTTCTAATTGGAGAAATGAGATCATATAAAACTGTGCTCTTGTGTGTGATTTTCCTCATGGACATTTCAGGGAGGAAATGTACTCACTCCAACTTCAGAGTTTACAAATATTTAAAATTATGAAGTAAAATAAAAATTATTTTTCAGTGTCTAAACTCATGCAGAAGGCTAGGAGTATAACTCAGTGGCAGAATGCCTATTCAGCCCTAGGTTGTATCTATGTATGTGCCCCCTCTCCAAAGGCATTAACACTGGACAAATTCCAAAAGAAACCATGTCTGAACTGGCTGGGGTGGTTCTGCCCTCTAATCCCAGCATTGGCAGGCAGAGGAAGGAGGATCACAAATTTGAGGCCAGCCTAGGCTACACAGTAAGTATGAACTACAGTAGCAAGACCCTGTCTTGAAAACCCAGGATCTGGGGATATGGCTCAATGGAATACCACTTACCTGACAGGCACATGGCCCTGCATTCAATCCCTAGCAGTAGGCAGGGGAGGGGGGAAGACTTATCTGTAAATGTCCCCCTTTTTAATGGTCATTTTCCCTCAGAAAATTGTACTAAGCTGTGAGACATTTATTTGCTCATCCATCAGATAAACTAATACTCAGTCTATATGGTAGTCTTGACAAGCAGTATATCCCATACATTGCTGAGTTTTTCCCAGGGCTTTAGCTCTGCCCATGAATTCTCACTTTGTGTAGGACTTGCCTTTCTAAGCACTCTGGCTTCTGCCTCACTTTCCTGAAATGGCTGTTTCCATGAATGGAGGCTAGGACTATCCATCCCTAGGCCCTGAGGGTTGTCTCAGCATGCTAGTTGTATAAGGTTGTCAAATACAAAAGAAAAAGAAAGGTCACAGAGGCATGAACAATAAACGAGTGAGGTTTGCTTGTCAGATTAATGGGCTCACTCAGAAGGTGGCAACAAGCAGTAGACTCAAGACCTGACAGGCAAAGAATAGTGGACCAGGCTTGGCCGGCAAGCTGGCTTCAGGCAGACCCTGGGCCAGGTCGCTGTCTTCGGTCCTGAAAAGCTTCTTAGCTGTAGGACTGGCAAAGTTCCCCTCTGGAGCTTCTCCTCTTAGCCCTTCCAGATCTCAAAAATCACGAAGGACTTTTCCTTTCTGTCCGACTCCCTAAGGTCGAAGGCTGGCCCTCTTGTGGCTCTGGGAGTCTTGGCCTGTTCTCTACCTAATGCTGCTAATACCCAAGGCTCTCCTGTTTCCCTGGTCTGGCCCTTTGCTCCGGGGGTCGGTGGCCAGGGGACGTCCCCAGCTGCTTTGGTCTCTGCCTAAAGGTCCTGGGCCTCTGACGCCTGCGCTCTGTTCCAGGGAGGCTGCCCGGTAGACAAGACACACAGAAACCAGTGCAGGGCGTGTCGGCTGAAGAAGTGTTTGGAAGTCAACATGAACAAAGATGGTAATCAGTACATGCCTTTATTCTTCTAATGTTGATTGAGTAGTAAGTAAATTATATGTACAGAAAATACATGGCACTCCTATGCATGTAAATCATTTCCCCAACAGAACTCTTCTCTCCAGATGCTGGGAATGGCCTCAGGCTGTCAGTCGTAGCCTCTCCAGCAGCAGGCATAGTCTCTGCAACAGTGCCCACTGAACTCCTGGGACAAATCCATGCCCACGTGAGAAACGTGACCCCCAAACCACACTCACCAAAGCAACACTAAGGAGGGACTCTGTCCCTCACTACTGGGTGCCAGATATTTCCCACCTAAGGTCCTAATCCCTTTTCTTGCCTCCTCTTGCAGCGCTTTGTGGCCTCCCTAATTCTCAGTCTTTCTGAGAGTCCCCAAGAGTAGAGACAGGAAAATGGGAGATTTCAATCCCTCATTGGCAAATTCACAAAGATATCTAAATTATTATGGCCAGGTTGGTCTAAGGTTTTCTAGAGCCTTTTCTCCATTCTAAAAAATAAAGGTAGAGAGGCAGGATGACAACCAGTTTCCTTGGGGCAAAAATGAAAGCCAGACCTCTTTTATGACATTCCTGGGCACAGAAAGCTGCCAAACTCCATGTAGTTTCCTCCCCCTCCAAACTACCCCCCCCCACACACACCGTGGTGACTTGACAAGGGAGTCCCCAGGCTTGGGCCAAAGGCAGAGGGCAATGACAGGAGGGTCTGGGGAAAGGGTACAGAGAGGGCCTTGTGGTGGTGGCAACCTGGCCGGGTGGCAGCTGCTGGAGGCACAGAGCCCATCCCTCAGTACTCGTTTTGCAGCCCAGGAGGGAGCAACCAACCTGTTGAACTTGTGTATTGACAAGTTGTCAAGCTCTGCAGGCAGAAGATTGCCCTGAATTAATTTGTTTGTTTAAACTGTTGGTGGTAATTGTCACATCTCCCCTGCCTTCCTCCCGTACTCCTCCGCATAGGCTCTCCCTTGTCCCATCCCCCAGCGGCCCTTGGGCCCTGGGCTTTTTCTGTTGGGACCCTGGAGGCCAAAGCCTTTTCTGTGGGGGCAGCCTGGAGGTGGGGGAAATCGATTAGAGGTAGAGCTGTGTGTGTGGCACTCCATTTCTTGGTGGTGCAAGTGAGGGCATCTTGTTACTCGGAAACCCAGAGGGTTTCAGATTTCCCTGGGTCCCCTGGGTGAGGAGGAACCCTGAGCCTACCTAGAGACTGGGCCACTGTTGGGGCCTACTTTGATCACCATGTGGTCTTCTCCACCTCAGCTCCAGGCTCCCAGCCTTAAAGTGAGCCTGAGCGCTTTGTGCCCACGTGCCCTCTCCCTCCAGACGTGAGTTAGAGGGGCAGACAGATTACCTGCAAGTATCGTCGCACCTCTGATCCCAGGCTTGTGTCCATCTGTTTGTCTTTGCAGCGGTGCAGCACGAGCGGGGGCCTCGGACGTCCACCATCCGCAAACAGGTGGCCCTCTACTTCCGCGGTCACAAGGAGGAGAACGGGGCAGCGGCGCACTTCCCCTCCGCCGCGCTACCGGCTCCAGCCTTCTTTACAGCAGTCACACAGCTGGAACCACACGGCCTGGAACTGGCCACTGTGTCTGCCACCCCTGAGCGGCAGACCCTCGTGAGCCTGGCTCAGCCCACGCCTAAGGTTAGTGGCTTTGCTACGTTCAAAGAGACGCTTCCTGAGCAGAGGGAGGAGTAGGACACACTCAGTTCTGAGCCTACATGGGGTCAGGTGGAATTCCCAGATGGAGGGACTTCCTAAGTGCTTGGCTCCTGCTCTTTCCTGTTCAGGCCAAGATGCTGTTCTTTAGTGTACAATAGAGCCATCCTCTGGGTGGCTACAAATGCAGACTCCCGCCAGAGCTCATCTCATACCCTCAAGCTCCCTTTCAGCAAGTTTAGAGTGGAGGCCAGAAACTTGTACCTTAACACACTGGTATGTTGGTGGGTGAAGCCCCCAATCCCAGAGCCACCATTCCATGTTCCTAGAGGTCAGAACAGACTAGAAGGCAGTGGTTGGCTCTACCTGGAGGAAGGGCCTCAAAAGTTGCCAGAGGGATCTATTATCCTGCACAATCTCAGTGCAAGAGAAGAATGTAGAGAGCACTGTCAGTCCCGCTGTATTTTATCTGCTACCCCTACCCATGTCTAAGCCACCCAGGATTGGCCCTACTAGCAGGGTCACCGTTTGAGCTCCCTGGGAAGGCTGCCACCTAGGGACTGTACTCCAGGAATCGGCTGATTCTCCCCAAGGCCCTAGGAAGAGAAGGACCTAGGATTTCCCCCAGAGGAGGCCAGCTGCAGCCCCACACTGCAGGGAAGCCAAACACCTGGGCACATACACACGCACAATATTTAATATTGCTTTCTTACCCTTGATGTGTATAATAAGCTTGGGAAAGTAGTGTTATGAATATGTTGTCAGCTATGAATGGAAATTCTCTGTGAATGATTAAGATGTCTAATTGAAATATTTCCATAATATACTAATCCTTTCTAAAAATACTCATATGCATATTTGTGTTTGGGATGCCTATTAATTTATACTTTTTTCACATCTATTTTTATTTACACAAATGCAAGCAGTTCTTGTCTAAACTGGGAGCCAGGCCTGGCACTTGGCTCAGCCCAAGGAGAATTTACTGCAGGAGACAGAAAAGCCAGACACCCCTCTGGAAGGTAGTAGCCCCCAAAGAAGGAAAATGGGCCTTGAGTGTTTGGTTTTTGCTGGTCAAAGGCAAATGAATGTTTAAGCAGAGCATCTAGATTCTTTTCACCCTTCCCCTGTTTTAACCAGTAAATTGAAAGGTCTATTCTTCTTGTGAAACTGTGGTCTTCTCACTTGTGGATGTCTTTCTTCCCCTCCCAGTATCCCCATGAAGTGAATGGGACCCCAATGTATCTCTATGAAGTGGCCACTGAGTCGGTGTGTGAATCAGCAGCCAGGCTTCTCTTTATGAGCATCAAGTGGGCAAAGAGTGTGCCAGCCTTTTCCACATTGTCTTTGCAAGACCAGGTATGACCAACAGGGGTTGGAAAGGAAGCAATAGTACTCAGCCTTATAAACGGGAGGCCATGTGCATAATTCAACAAGTCAGGCATGCATTTTGAACAGCAATGAGAAAACTGTTTATCTTTACCAGCATCATTCCAGGGGTTCATAATGTCTACCTATGGGAGTCATTAGGTAGAAATACAATTATGCTATTTCAGGGTAGCTAGATCTGGTCTTTGCAAAACACATATGCAAGTATATTACCTTTTTCTAGTTTAACTGAAACATCAAATTTAATCTCAAACTGAAAAATCTTAATGTTCTTTAAAAAGTGATAATAAGCTAGACATACACATCTGTATCCCAGCTCTTAGGAAGCTGAGGCAGGAGAGCCCTGAGTTTGAAGTCAGATTGGGCCAAACAAACAAGTAAACAAGCTATTGATAAAATGGTATTTCCTTAAGAACACTGAAGCTGAGAAGAATAGAAGGCAATTTTGGAACTAGTATATTTTATATTCCCAGCTTTATATTCTCTACTGTGCTGGTCGCAGTTTTGACTACTGATTTATCAATATATAGAAATAAGGGTTGTATGGTGCACCCCGCCCCCCGTGGACTAGTATCTTTATTGTTGCTTACTGGTCTGTTTTGGGCATGGCTAGGTATCAAATCTTTAGAGAAACACTCTATTACTGAACTATACCCCCAGCTTTCCTTCTCAATTCCTTAAGTGCTTTTAGAGCTTTTGAAAACAAAAAAATTTACATGATTCTTTGTTTATAAATTATATTCAGAGGTAAGAAATTATGCTCTGCTAAAAATTGGATTGTGCCAAACACAAATTTTGTTGTTAGGAATATCAAAAGTTGCCTTTGTCAATATTTCTCTACTCTTAAGAGAAAGAAATAAAGCATTCACAACTATTGGGTGTTACCCATGGAAGTTAAAGGCAAGTTCCTTACATTATTTTTGTTTGTTTTTCCCGTTTTGATGATGGAGATCAAATCCAGGGCCTTGTCCATCCTAAGCAAGTGCTCTGCCACTGTGCCACACATCCACCCTAACAAAGTGTTCTAAAAACAGAGGATTCAATTCTTCATTTCAGACCTACTACATCATTGTAGCGTTCCTTAATATGTTTCCTTCAGGGAGACTAAGCAAGGCGCTAAGCAGAGTTAATCTCCTAGCATGAAATATGGGTAAATTATTGTTTGCCTTGCATTTAAAAATTATTTCCTGTACTCCATTCAATAAAATGAAAAAAAGCATTTTAAAGTTTAAATATTTTTTTATTGTCAGTTTGGTTACAAACCTTCATGATTCTTAGCTTTTAGAAAAAATTCTTTTATATAAATCATCCAACACAGGCTGGTAAAGATCTCTGAGAAATCTTTTTCAAATATGAGAGGTTTTTTTTTTTTTTTTT